GAAGGAGGAAGGGGAGAAAAAACTTAGGGAAACGCAGAAACAAGTGGATGGGGTGCCCTGTCAGAGGGGTTGCCAGGATCTGAAGCAAGTGACAGGGGTGCCCTATCAGAGGGGGTTGCCGGGAGCTGATGGAAGGGGATAGTGTTTGTACTTTCTTTTTTATTTTTGGAGACTGAGTCTCTCACTCTGTCACCAGGCTGGAGTGTATGGATGCAATCTCTGCTCACTGCAACTCCTGCCTCCCAGGTTCCAGCAATTGTCCTGCCGTCAGCCCCCAGTGGCGCTGACTACGGGAGGAATGCTGCCACACCCAGCTAAGTTTTTGATTTTAGTAGAGACAGGGTTTCACCATGTTGCCCAGGCTGGTCTCGAACTCCTTGAGCTCAGGCAATACACCTGGTTCAGCTGCCCAAAGTGCTGGAATTACAGGCTTGAGCCACTGTGCCCAGCCAAGCCACTGTGCCCAGCATTTTTTTTTTCTTTTTTTTATATAGAGTTTCGTTTTATTGCACAGGGCTTGGAGTAAAGGTGGGTATGATCTTTGGTCACCGCAACCTTCTACCTCCCAGGTTCAAGCGATTCTCCCTGCCTCAGGCTCTTGTTGAGGCTAGGTTACAAACATGTGCCACCCACGCCTGGCTAATGTTTTTGTATTTTTAGTAGAGACAGGGTTTCATCATGTTGCCCAGGCTGGTCTTGAACTCCTGACCTCAAGTGATCCACCCACCTCAGCCTCCCAAAGTGCTTGGATTACAGGCATGAGCCACCGTGCCCAGCCATACACTTTCACGCTTTCTTAATGTTTGAAACACCTGAATGTATCACCTATTGAGTATGTTAATAAATAACTACAAAAATATTTGTGAAAGAACGAACTCACTTGGGCATCTGCCCTGTGTGCATCTGCCACTTGCTGTATAAGCACTGCCTCTGCACGAACAGGAGTGTGCAGTGCACAGGGCCCTCTGTGTTCTAGCTCTAGGCCAGGCCTTAGTAGAGTGGAGACCCTCTGCACCAGCCTAACCTGCTCGAGGAGGAGAGTACCCCACCCAATCTATAGCTAACACCATGTCTAGCTATGCCTCAGCTGCATGTGATCTTCTGTCCCCTGCCACCTGTGCAAAGTGGACCCTGTTGGTCCTCCCTGACAGGTGGAAGCCTCAGGGGATCCCTGGGCTTTGTGCTGCGAACCATACATAGGCTAGTCAGTACTGACCAGCCATGTCTTGGCCTGGCCATGGTTGGTGGGACTCCTCTAGGGTCCAGCCCAATCGCAGTCCAGTTGGCAGAAGACACCCACTGACTGAGGGTGACTAATCTCCTTGGAATGGCATCACTCCTCCCTTACTTCTCTAAAGTAGGGAATATGATCCTGGGTTTCCTAGTCATGAGGTCACTGAGGCCCCCAGCCTCCTGGAGACATAGGCCTCTGAGTTACCTTCTGCTCTGTCTTGACTTTGGCATTGTAGAAGGAGATGGAATCAGGGCCCTCAGGAAGCACCCTCTGCTGCAGCTGGCTGAATTTGTCCTGGTCATCTTCTCCCTGGGGGAGGAGAGTCTCTTTAGCATGGTATTGTCAGGATATACCCTAGCAGAGCCTGTGATGGGCATCAGGGCGGTTTGTGCCATACACCCCCATACCAAAAGGGCATCTCACAGCCCTCCAGCCCCCATGTCTGTCAGTGTTCCCACAGACAACCTGTAACTGCTGCCTGAGCAGGATGAACTGCTTTAGAAAGGTGGCAGTAGCAAGAGTGGTATTTTCCCCCATCCCTTGGTAACCGAGGAGAGACCTGTACCTGCCCACCTGCCTGGGCTGGCTATGGAGAGGCTGGGTGCACCACACACACTGCCATGTTTGTGATGAGAACAGAGATCAAGGAGCACTGCCCATTGCCCCATGCTTAACCACTGCCACACTCCTGCCCTTGTGCTGCTCACCAGAGACACAATCCTGTTCACAGGGACCATGCCTGGCCGGATGCTGCCGCCTGGCTTCAATGCCATCTGCATGTCCTCAGGGATGACAAAGGACTCATTGTACCAGATGTCAAATTCTACAAGGAGGTGAGGAGACAGAACCTGAGGAAGCTGGTAAGGGCTGTGTGCTCTCATCTGTCTTATATCTGTCGCAGACTCACCACCTGTTTACTTTCTGCTCCAGGGTCTTACCCTGTCCCCATCTCCATCTCTGGCCCTCACAGTCCTGGGAACCACACATCTGAAGCCCCTGCCCAGCCCCTGGCTCTGCCAGAGAGAAACTCTGAGGGTGCTTCCAGAACTCAGGCTGTGGCCTCTCCCTGAGCCTCCTTGTACCTCAGGTGGCGGCCAACCTTCCCAACTGTCGCACCCATGAGCAGGCGGTGGCGACACTGATCCACTAGGTGCTGGCAATACTGGATCTCAGCCCTGAGGTCACGCAGGTCCTGGTACTCGCTGCGGTACTGCTTCTTGAGGTCTTTGAGCTTCAGGATCAGCAGGAATTCCTCCTCATCGATGATCATCAGCCCCTTGTTTTCATATTCACCTGCAAGGTGATGGAAGAAGTCAGGAAATGAGGTGTCCACCTGAAATTGGGGGAGGAAGGGATTCCAGAAGGCGGGCACAGAGCTGGCAAATCATGAAGACAGGAGACCACAGGCAGGGCTGGGTCATGGCAAGGAGATGGGTAAAGCACAAGAAGGCCAGGCTGCCAGGGCATAATCTCACAGGGAGGGGAGCTCAGCTCAGTGGGGCCACACTGGCATTTTAGGACAAACAGGAGCAGAGGGCAGGGGAAGGTGCAGAAGGCCCATGCTCCATGCTTGTTTTATTTAAAACTCTATTAGCCAAAGATATTTAGTAAGCACCCCTAGTATACAAATGTCTATTTTTCTTGTAAATTACATCTACAAACTGCCATCACTGGCTAGTACTACAAGGCACTTGGGCAAGGCTCCTTATTAATAACAGCAGATGTTCAAATTGTCTCTTGCTGATTCCCACATCCACCAGCTACTTTTTTTTTTTCCTTTTTGAGATGGAATCTTGCCTTGTTGCCCAGGCTAGAGTGCAGTGGCACAATCTCAACTCACTGCAACCTCCATCTCCCGGGTTCAAGCGATTCTCCTCCCTCAGCCTCCTGAATAACTGGGATTACAGGCATGTGCCACCACGCCCAGCTAAGTTTTGTAGTTTTAGCAGAGACGGGGTTTCACCATGTTGCCTAGGCTGGTCTTGAATTCCTGACCTCAGGTGATCCGCCCACCTCGGCCTCCCAAAGTGGTGGGATTACAGGCGTGAGCCACCATGCGCAGCTCACTAGCTACCTTCTTGTTAGAGATGATTAGACATCTATATCGTGTTGAGTAGCTGTCAAAGGGCTCCAGGGACAAGGGTTAGTGCTATTCGTCTCTTTGCAAGGATCTTTTAAGGTCTGTCAGTTCAGTGACAGTTGTTGGGTTAACACAAAATAATATGATGTACAAAGCCATTCACCCTGCTCTCCACTGCTCACAGCACCTGAAAGCTTAGCAAAGGCATCACATCAATTCCCATCCCCAAGTGTAAGGCAAGTGTGTTCTGCACATGACCTGAGGTGTGTGGCTGGGGTGCATGAGGCAGCCCCCAGGTGCTAGAGGAAAGTGTTAGCACTTCCACTGATGTTTATTGAGAAAAAAGTGAGACACATTAAAAGTCACTAATGGAGTCATTAATGGAAAAGCAAGTGTCTTGACTTTGGGATCTGGGATCTGGAGTGGGGAGTGGGAGTCACCCTCACCAGGTGTCTCACCTTCAGTGCGGAGCAATCTGCTGCGGTCTCTATGCTGTGGGAGGTCTCTGATGTGATTATCTGAATAAGCCACAATCCTTTACAGAGTAGAGTCTTTAAAGTACTCTGTTGAGATGGGGAGTAACTGTGAACATCTTTTGTTCTACTCAGAGAATCTCTGATTATCTCCAGGAAAAAAAAGAGTTGAATTAAAGATGATTTTACATTTTTACATTTTTCTTTTTTTCTTTTCTTTGTTTCTTTTTCTTTTTCTTGAATTACTGGCCTCAAGTAATCCTCCTGCTTCAGCCTGTCAAATAGCTGGAATTACAAGCGTATGCCACCACAACTGGCAATTTTGTATTTTTCTTTTACAAAAGACTACTGTTCCAAATATGCTGACCTTTCTGGGTCAACAAGTGGCTATCAATCATAAGGTATCTAAGAGATTGATTGATTGATTGATTGATTGATTGGACAGGGCCTCACTCTGTCGCCAAAGCTAAAGTTCAGTGACACGATCATGGCTCACTGCAACCTCAACCTTCTTGGCTCAGGTGATCCTTTCACCGTGCCTCCCAAGTAACTGAGACCATAGGCATGTGCCACCACGCCCAGCTAATTTTTTATGTTTTTTTTGTAGAGACAGGGTCTCATTCTGTTGCCCAGGCTGGTCTCAAACTCCTGTGCTCAAGCAATCCACCCACCTCGGCCTCCCAAAGTGCTGAGATTACAGGTGTGAGCCACCTTGCCTGGCCTAGGAGATATGACTTTACTTGATCTGTTCAAGTAAATTCAATAAAATAAAGGTATTTTATTAATATTTTAATAATCAGTGGAAAAACACTACTTTTGGAGGAGAGCACAAAAATGAGTTTTTTTGATATTGATAGATAAAATTTTAAATATTAAAAATTTGTTGGGTCAGGCGCTGTGACTCACACCTGTAATCCCACCACTTTGGGAGGCTGAGAAGGGCAGATCACGAGGTCAGGAGATTGAGACAATCCTGGCTAATATGGTGAAACCCTGTCCCTACTAAAAATACACAAAATTAGCCAGGCATGTTGGCAGGTGCTTGTAGTCCTAGTTACTCAGGAGGCTGAGGCAGGAGAATGGCGTGAACCCAGGAGGTGGAGCTTGCAGTGAGCCAAGATCACGCCACTGCACTTCAGCCTGGGCGACAGAGCAAGACTCTGTCACACACACACAAAAAATTTTTTTTGGCCGGGTGCAGTGGCTCACACCTGTAATCCCAGCACTTTGGGAGGCTGAAGTGGGCAGATCACCTGAGGTCGGGAGTCCAAGACCAGCCTGACCAACATGAAGAAACCCTGTCTCTACTAAAAATAAAAATTAGTTGGGCGTGATGGCGCATGCCTGTAATCACAGCTACTTGGGAGGTGAGGCAGCAGAATTGCTTGAACCCGGGAGGCAGAGGTTGCAGTGAGCCAAGATCGTGCCATTGCACTCCAGCCTCGGCAACAAGAGTGAAACTCTGTCTCAAAAAAGAAAAAAAAAAAATTTTAATGCCTTCCTCATCTCATCCTTTGAAACTGTCCACTTTCAGGTGTATTTAGGAGTACACGATATGCCAGCATAGCATGCATATATTTTATCTTAAATATGTAATAAGGAGCTGTATGTTCAAAGAAAGTGTGAGCAAAGAGGACAAAGAAGTGCTTGTTTGTCCCATAAAATCTTCACCACGTCCTCTCCCTGTGGTTCTGGATAGGGGTATGTCTATAGCCACCATCACTGGCCTTCTCCAGCTTCCCAGACCCGTGGAGGGCTTTGCCCTTAGGAATAGCATGTCATAATTGGTCTGTGAGGTATAAGAATGGCCCCAAGAATTAGAACATAAAGTTGCCCTCTGAGAAATAATTGTTTAATTTTTTTTTTTTTTTTTTCTGAGACAGTCTTGGTCTGTCACCCAGACTGGAGTGCAGTGGCGCAATCTTGCCTCACTGCAACCTCTGCCTCCTGGGTTCAAGCAATTTTCATGCCTCAGCCTCCCAAGATGCTGGGATTACAGGTGTGCATCACCATACCCTGCTCCTCTGAGAAATAAATGAGTAAAATGCACCTTCTGTGAGTGAGATGATGCATCTGACTTGCAGGAATAAACCAAGTGACATCTGGAGATCATTTATGAAAGCTGGCCTGGAACAGGGTTGTGATTTAGCAAGGGAAAGCCCAGTAACCTGTGGTGTTTCCTGTCTGGAAGAAGACAATAAGACTGAGCCAGGAGTGTGAAGAACAGTGTGGCCTCTGAACCACCTGTCCCAGAGTTGGAATTGTCACTCATTAAAATGCAGGTCCTGGGCCCTGCTCCATCTCTCCTCAGTCAGAACCACTTGCTGAGGGGCTGGGAATCTGCACTTGACCAGCCCTCCCAGATAAGTCATCTGAACACATAAGCTTGATGGGCCTTGGCCCTCAGTGCAGGTGTGGGCGGTGCACACCACCAGGACAAGGACACTGGGTCAGGGTAACCAGGTGAGCACCCTCCCCACATTGGGGGCCTTTGCTCTTTGAGCCTGGAACACCCTCTGCCACCTGCCCTAGGAGACAAGACTTTGACAGACCAGCACCGGTGTCACGGATTCAGCATAGGGAATGGCCTTACTGAAAGTGAGTCCCTTGGCTCTCTGGCATCCATATTCTTGTTCCCTTACTTGGTTTTCCATAGTCCCTACCAGCAGCCCCACCTCAATCTGACCACCTGGAGCAGTAAGGAAACCACACAGAGACCCACGGACCTTGTAGAAGTCACCAGCTACCCATCTCCCAGTGATACCTCTGCAGGACAAAAGGCCTGTTTCACCATGGACAGTAGCACATATGGGGTGGAAGGCCCAGCACCTAGGTCTGAGATAATGCAACAATGAGGGACCCACAGGCAGAGGCTGGCTGACAGGGGAGGACTCTGAGGCTCTCAGGGGCTGACCAGAGCTAAGTGATCTGACCTATGGGTGAAGGCCACACCCCAGTACCCCCACTGGCCCCTCCCATCTCAGTCCTCTAGTGCCAAGGGCTGTTCTGCTTCGACCAGCATGACTCTGAGACCCCAAAGCTCCCTAGCCATCTTTCCATCACATTTACCTTGCTTCTCCCGCAGTGACTTCTGGAAATCCAGGGCCTCCTTGGTCACATCAATCTCCCGCTTGATGGCATTGATGCGCTGTGTGGTCTCGCTGGCCCTTATCCTCCGTTCGTTCAAGATGGATTTGTTTTCTTTGAAAATTCGGTTGATCTCACTACCTCGCTCGTTCTTAAACTCCTCAAAGGCCACTGGTTTGGAGGGTGGGGTGTCGGGCCTTGAGATGCAAGGGTGAGACCAAAGAGGATAAATGAGGTGGCTGCCTTGGAGCCACCAGGCACTTCATCTTTCTTCCCTGGGGCTTCTGTGGGCAGGAGGCAGAAGTGCTAGGCACCACCTACCCCAGACAGGAGCTAAACTGTGTGTGAATCATTCCCTCCTCTTTGTTTTACTCAGCACATGTACAAGGTCACATGCCCATGGCAGAAAGGGAGGAAAGCAAGGAAAAGTATAAGAAAAAAACAACAATAAGAAAAGAAAAGAACAATGGCGTATGGTGGTGTGTCTCCTTCTGGATTTCTTTCCTTTTTTTTTTGAGACAGAGTTTTGCTCTTGTTGCCCAGGCTGGAGGGCAATGGCGCAATCTTGGCTCACTGCAACCCCCACCTCCTAGGTTCAAGCGATTCTCCTGCCTCAGCCTCCCGAGTAGCTGGGATTACAGGCATGCTCCACCACGCCCGGCTAATTTTTTTAATTTTAGTAGAGACTGGGTTTCTCCATGTTGGTCAGGCTGGTCTCAAACTCCCGACCTCAGGTGATCCACCCGCCTCGGCCTTGGCCTCCCAAAGTTCTGGGATTACAGGCATTAGCCACCACACCTGGCCCTGGATTTCTTTTATGTGTGTATATATATATATGGGGTTTTTTTTGTTTTTTTTTTTTTGAGACAGTATCTTGCTCTGTTGCCCAGGCTGGAGTTCAGTAGCTCAATCATAGCTCACTGCAGCCTTGAGCTCCTGGGCTCAATCAATTCTCGTGCCTCAGCCTCCTGAGTAGCTCGGACTACAGGCATGTGCTCCCATGCTCAGCTACCTTTTAATTTTGTATAGAGACAGACTCCCACTATGTTGCCCAGGCTCTCCAACTCCTGGGTTTAAGCAATCCTTTCACTTTGGCCAACCGATGTGCTGCAAGCATGAGCCACCATGCCTGGCCTCTTTGATATATTTTTGAATGGCTAAGGCCATGCAGTATGTTTAATTTTACATCTTACTTTTTTCAAAAGAGCATTTCATGTTATTAAAAACCCTTTGAGAACTCTAGTTAATGAGTGTAAGATGAAGTGTTGGGGCAAGGGGAAGTGGATTGATGTGGGCAACTTTGAAATGCATCAAAAAAATAACATAGAGGAATAGAAGGATAGAGGCAGAATGAAACAAGAATAGTAACATGTAAATTGTAGAATTGGGAGGATGCTTGGTGTACAGGTGTTCGCTGTACAATTATTTCAACTTCTCTGAATGTTTAGAAATGTTCATAGGCTGAAATTCTTCATGGACAACCCAATGGCAGAGAACAATTCACTTAGTGCCCTTTCCCTAGTGTTGGCTACTGAAGGTGTTTCAAAAATATATATATATAGCTTTTTAAATAAATGATGAATACATATCTTTTGCATAAATCTTGTTTCACATCTATTTCCTTAGGATAGATCCTTAAAAACTCATCAGGGAGAGAGGCTGAGTGATTCAAGGAAAGGGAAGAGGTTATATTCTTTCATATCTTAAAAATTTTTAATCTTTTGAATGCAGTACTTGTACAAAAGATACATAACTTTAATTATTTAAATAATTGCTATTTGGAGGGTCTAAAATGATTCCATGTTTAATTGTACATCTTGGATGACTCCTGAGGTTGGATCATTTTGCAGGTGCATAGTCATGTTTTCTTCCTTGGGGACTGTGCTCCTAGTCTTTGCCTATTATTCCTTATTTTATTTCTCTTTTATCTGCAGGTACTCTTTACATGTTGAGGATCACATATGGTTTTGTTTGATCTGGTGCAGAAGCTAACATTAGCTGATTACCTAATTGGGCGTAATTCCTCCTTCGGGGAGTCTGAGGGAAGGGGCTCAACGCTGGAAGTTTCCCGGTCCCGCGAAAGCATGTCTTTGACATCCCCATCTTTGGAGGATGGGACCAGCTGGGTCTTGGAGGTGGAAACGTAATCCAAGTCCTTCCCATTCACAGGGCTGCTGGCACCTTCCTTTCTTGCCAAGGAGCTGGAAGAAGGCATGGAAGCCCCAGGGTTCAGTCATGGGCAGTGAGGTATCGCAGATGCCAGGATGAGTGACCTCTCTCAGCACTCACTACACTGGGAGCCCCACCTCACTCAGCTCCCACCTTGTTCATATTCCTAGGTAAAAGCGCAAATAGTGTGATGCTAAGCCAGGCAGATGTGGAGGAAGAAGAGGGCATTTTTCTCCCTTTTATCAGAACAAAGAGCTCTCAGTGGTCTTGGCAGGAGACACTTGGGAAAAATGGGTACAATCTCCAGGGACTGAAAGTGTATGGACCTGTGGGATGGGCCACAGGTTCTCAGGAACCACCATGGCTGCTGAGGTCTGAGTCATACAGGCTGCCCTGGGAAGGACTGGCAGAGCCCCATACAGGGTGGGTCTGTCTGTGGACCAATGGTAAGGCAGGATGGCTCTGCCCTGCTGTTCTTTTTTTTTTTTTTTTTTTTTTTGAGACAGAGTCTACCTCTGTTGCCCAGGCTGGAGTGCAGTGGCGTGATCTTGGCTCACTGCAAGCTCCACCTCCCAGGTTCACACCATTCTCCTGCCTTAGCCTCCTGAGTAGCTGGGACCACAGGCGCCAGCCACCACGCCCGGCTAATTTTTTTGTATTTTTAGTAGAGATGGGGTTTCACCGTGTTAGCCAGGATGGGCTCGATCTCCTGACCTCGTGATCCGCCCGTCTCGGCCTCCCAAAGCGCTGGGATTACAGGCGTGAGCCACCGTGCCCGGCCTGCCCTGCTGTTCTTACTGGTCCACACCCTGTTCTCCACACCAGCTCCCAGAAAAGTAGCTGTCCTCCCTGCCGAAGCAACAGTGCTTGGTGCCTTTCTCCAAGAAGAGGCAGATCTGAGGACCGAACTGGCACGAGGATGCCCATGGCTCTTCCCAAAGGTCTGAGGATAGAAAATCTGTTTCTTCCTCTTTCATCCTCCTTGCAACAAGTGTGGCTCAGGGGACTGAGCCTCAACCAATCAACTACTGCACTGGTTATCCGGAAGCAGAACAGAGAGGGTTGGGGTGTGACTGCACTCATGAAGAGGGAGGAGGAGGCCAGGGACACTGGCATCCTCTGCTGCCTGACTCTTGTCCTGCGTGTAACAGTTTTCTACAATCAGCTCTGGCCCATGGCCTGCGCTCACTCACTTATCCTCACAACAACCTCAACAACAACCTCAATGACTTGGATGCTATTATTATTTTTCCCATTTTGGAGATGCAGAAACAGGCACAGAGTGGTTCTCATGTCTCACATGGGGTGACCCCTTGGGTGTGAGAAGTGCAGAGCAGGGAGGGGAGCCCGGGCGTCAGCTCCAGAGCCTGTGCTCTTACCCACCACTACACAGCACCCCGGGAGAGTGGGCTCACTAAGTGAACCTAAATGCTCTTCCCACCTTGCACATACAAACGGATCTTGCCTGAAAGGTGAACTGGAGTTTTAGGTGACCTGAGTGCCAGTCGGCAGGAAGACCCTAGTGAAGTGAGGGGAGGCAGTACAACATAAAGTACCAGAGGGCATGGGCTCTGGGGAGCTGGTCCAGCTTCTCGCTGCCATTCCACTAGTCATTGGTGGTGTGGCCTTGGGGAGTGACTTCCCCTCTCTAAGCCTCTGTTTCTTCATCAATATAATGAAGACATTAACTCCCACCTCACCAGGTTGCTGTGAAGATGAGAGGTGATTCTTGTGGGGTTCCAAACCAACCCCAGCCCGGACCCCACAGACTTGCTAGTATTGGCAGCAGTAACGTCCATTGCGCCAACCCAGTAGCTGAGACACCGGGGGAAGGCGGGAACAGTGCACATCCTCCCATTCACCCACCAAGGAGGGCCAGCTGCTGAGGAGGCAGAGCGGCAAGGTCACTCACCTAAGGGGCTCTTTGAATATCTTCTTGGACTTGGCTTTCTTCCCAGGTTTGGTAGAGAAAGGGGCAACTCCGAGTCCAAAGTTTTGTCCTTCAGGCTCACCCACTAGGTGGCCATCAACATCCACAAGCCCCGCCTACATAGAGAGGCCAGCCAAAGGTCTGTGAGTTAGATTAAGGGCTTGGGCCCCTTGGGGACCCACGTGTATATGGCCCAAGGCTCAGGGTGGACATGTTCACCATACACACCAAGGTTTGGCAGCTGCTAATGCCAGCCTCAGGCTGTCCCCAGTAGAGCGGTCCCTGATCACTCTGCCAAATGTTCACTTTCCACATGCACCCCCTCACCAGTATGGCACCTCATTCCATACTCTGGGGATTTAAAAGCTTATTTCCAACCTAATTCCAGGAATTTGTCTTTAATATTATTATCCATGTTTCTACCTTATGGAAATTATTTTTAATTCAAAAGTGGTTTACTCTTACACAGGTCGCCTATGTTCATTCTGGTGTTACCTTTATCTGTTGCAATCCTAGCTCTGGTTTAATACATAATACTTGCTGGCTCTGCAAAGGTCTGAGGATGGGAAATCTGAGGTGAGTGCTGTCGGCAAGTGGCAACTATGCTTACCTTCTGGACAGCAGAAATGGCTGCAAAGTCATTCCTGTCAATGAGGGTGTACTTCCTGCGCAAAGTGGACTCCACTTCCTGTTCCTGTTGGCTTGGGAGACAGCACAAGAGAACAACTTGTACCTGGAGCCATGCTGAATCCACTGGGGTAAGAACCAAGTACTGGGGTTAAAAGTCATATGGGCAAGGTCCCTTGTATGGGACCACACCTTCATCATGAACCAGACCAGACAAAAGGACGAAGGACTCACTTTCCCCTGCCCCATTGCATATACCCACTGTCCAACCCCCAAACCTGCAGGGGCCACCTTATGGCATGTGTATCTGCTCCAGGATGACACTTGATAAGGACTGTAAGCTTCACTTGGGACCATGTGGGGTTCTGTCTTAGGTTCTGTCTCTAACAGGCCCCTTGGAATCATGTGACCAGCTTTAGTGACACCACCTAGCATAAGCTGCTTAGACTATGGGTATGTTTGCACCCAAGTAAACCACAAATGCTTCCTGAGGTGGGGGTGTGTGGCAATATTCACAAGGTGAATATTCACAACGCCCTGCTCTGGGCACACTCAGAGCTGGCATTTCATAAACACCTCCTGTCCAATTAATGAACTCACTGAATATCTACCAGGGACCCAGGCATGCCCCCAAGTACTCTAATTTGGCTCTTCATCCACAAACATGAAGAGGATGCTCTTGGAGGCAAGTGCCCAGATCGCAGGAGATGAAAATGCCAGCCTGATGTAGGAGTGAGGCAGCGGTGGGGGTCTCTCACCTTAGAACCACCCGGAACTGGTTGAACACCTCCTTGATCTGTCTAAGGTTGATTATCTGGAGGGAAGAGAGCAAGGCAGAGGTTAGACCAAGGGCACCTAGAGGGACCAGGTTGCGTCTATGTTAGTAGAGAAATCAAGACCCCTTGGCTGACTCCTGGACCATCTGTCTCGAGAAGAGGACATTTGCACACAGCCTCTCAGCAAAGTGGCAGCCAAGCCCTTCTCCAGAGCAGAGAAACACCTGATTAATAATTTTAAAACTAAGTGTTTGCTGAGGCTATAAAAACCACCTTTTCTAAGTGGAGACCTCTATAAAACGAAATGATTCTATACCTTGAAAATACCTTCTAAAGTTTTTTATAAATAAAACGTATTTCCTCAGCTTTCTCTTCCAAAAGGCTCTGCCTGCTGTCTTCAGATGGAGCCCATTTATGGACCTGTCTGCATGGGCACAGACACGCACACATGAGGCCGGAGGAAGGTTACTGGCCTCCCCCCGGGCCTAAAGCCCACAGCATTCCCCTTGACCAAGGGTTAATCTGGGACTGCCCCTCCTGTGAAGGCCAGAAGAGTCCATCCCTTAGTTGCCCCAGGCCTGCTTCTTGGAGCTGCCCATAGTAACAGCCAGGGGGGTCTGCCCATGTCTCCAAGAAGAGGGGTTCGATGGACTGCACTGTGAAAACAGGATGCAGCCTCTTCCCCCTGAGGACCCTTCCTTGTGGGGCAGTTTCCCCCTCCTTGGCCCACTCCAACATGGGCCCTGGGGTCTACCTTGTAGACAACCAGCATGACCACCATCCTTTATCAGCTTCATTCTGCGGACACAGTCAAGCCACCCAGGTGCAGCAGTTCAGTTCATCACCACTCCGTTTCCCTCCCCACTAGGCAGGTAAGGCCACTGAAGTACACGCGGTTGAGTATTTTGCCAAGGTCACTCAGCAAAGCAGCAGCTGAGCTAGGATTCAATCCCAGAAAGCCTGGCTCTAGGGCCTGTGCTTGTGCCCCTGAGATGAGCTGAAAGGTCCCTGACATCAAGAGTCCAGCACCACCCTCCACCCACTGCACCCATTCATGTGAGGTTCTGAGGCTAGCAGAGCATGCGTTGGGGTGTGCCCAGGATAGGGAGGTCCAGGCTGGCTCAGCACAGTGGTCACAGAGGGGTTCCTTACATCGATCTCGTCCAGCGTCCCCTCCAGGTACCTCCGCACCTGGGAGTTGATCTCAGCAATCTGGATTTCATCCATGGCTTCATAGGTCACAAAGGTGCGGTTGGTCTTGAAGGGAGATGAAGAACATGTGGATAAGCAACAAGAACCCGAGCCCATGCGGGAGTGGCAGGGGCCATTCTGAGAGGCAAAGTAGGGAGGCTGGGCACAGGCCCTGGCTGACCAAGCTGGCTCATTCCCTTCATCATCGGGTCCTGCCAGAGGGCCTAACACACAGGCCAGGTGCTTGAGTCAGAGATGGGTAATGGGGTTGGGGAGGAAAGGAAAGTCCCTCAGACATGGGGCCTGCTACTCCAGACAGAGGCTCTGCTGCCTGAGTCCCAGCAGACTCTGCAGCATAAGAACCGCGAGGACGGGAGGCATGCGCTGCCTCTGGCTTGAGGCCCCTCAGGACCACTGGAGGACTCTGTCCCCACCCCCTGTCCTCATGGCCCCTTGCTGCTGCCCCTTTCCTGCCACTCAGCCTGCCCCCTGACCCCGCCTACTACCGGCCTTGACCCATTATGCTGTCTGCCCCTAGCCCCAGTCGCCCCTTATCCCAGCACCTCTGCCCTCCTTCCTTGCCTCTAGCCTCTTACCAGGCTGTCATGGATGGCCAGTTCCTGCTTGAGCAGTGCTAGTTCCTTCTCCAGGTTCTTGACCATTCTCTGCCGGGAAACATGGTAGGGTGGGGGCCAACAGGAAGGGTCATCAGAGAAGCTACCCTGTCTCTTCCACAGCCAGAGCACAATTCTTCATTCTGTGCCCAGACATCCCGGCCATTCCTGGATCCACAGGGTATGCTTTCAGCTTCTGGCGATTACCTCCCCACTGGTGACTCTTCCCCAACTGGGGTGAGTTTAGGGTCTGGGAGGACCTGAATAGTACCCTGGCCTTTGCTACTGCCTCAAAAGAGACAGCACAAGCTACAGGGCCACCTCAAACCCCAACTCCCAGGGGCCCCAAGCTTCTTCCAGTCTACCAGGATAATGGCCCTTTCGGTGCAGCCTATAGACTCCAGAATGCCTTCTCTTTTTGTGAGACAGAGTTTTGCTCTTGTTGCCCAGGCTGGAGTGCAATGATGTGGTCTCAGCTCACTGCAACCTCCGCCTCCTGGGTTCAAGTGATTCTCTTGGCTCAGCCTACTGAGTAGCTGGGATTACAGTTGCCCACCACCACACCCAGCTAATTTTTATAATTTTAGTAGAGACATGGTTTCACCATGTTGGCCAGGTTGGTCTCAAACTCCGGACCTCAGGTGATCCGCCCACCTCAGCCTCCCACAGTGCTGGGATTACAGGCATGAGCCACCATACCCAGCACCAGAATGCTTTCTTTTTAGAGACAGGCTCTTGCTCTGTCCTCCAGGCTGGAGTGCAGTGTCACCATCATGGGTCACTGCAGCCTCAACCTCCTGGGCTCAAGCAATCCTCTTACCTCAGTCTCCTGAGTAGGTCATGCTACAGGTACACACTGCCATACCCAGCTAATTTTTGTAGAGACAGGGGTCCCACTATGTTGCCCATGCTGGTTTCAAACTCGTGGGCTCAGGCAATCCTCTCGCCTCGGACTCCCAAAGGCTGGGATTACAGGTGTGAGCCATCGTGCCTGGCCTCCAGGATGCTTTCTATGCATGGTTATAACCCTCATCCTCACCAACCACTGCATGAACCTATCACCACTCCCCAATGATAATCATGTATGTCACCTCTTATTTTTTATTTTTTATTTTTTTTTGAGATGGGGTCTCGCTCTGTTGCCCAGACTGGAGTACAGTGGCGTGATCTCGGCTCACTGCAACCTCTGCCTCCCAGGTTCATGTGATTCTCCTGCCTCAGCCTCCCGAGTAGCTGGGATTATAGGCATGCACCACCACACCTAGCTAATTTTTGTATTTTTAGTAGAGACGGGGTTTTGCCATGTTGGCCAGGCTAGTCTCGAACTCTTGACGTCAGGTGATCTGCCCTCCTCAGCTTCCCAAAGTGCAGGGATTACAAGTGTGAGTCACTGTGACTGGCCTCACCTCTAATTTTTTGCTGCTTACAAACAATGCTGCAAGAACATTTTTGTACTCATATTTATGTCCTTAGATTTCTGCAGAAAAACACAGCGATCTATGAGGCTTTTGAGATCTGCCCCCATTACCTCTTTTCTGCTTCTCTTCCCTGGTGCATTCCAACCACTTCCACAAATTGGTATGCTTCTGCCTCTGCATTGCCTGTCCACTGCCCTGGAATTTCCTTCTCCTAGGTATTTCCAAGACTCATTCACTTACCTTCTGAAAATCTTTTTTCAAAAGCTTCTAAATTAGGTACACCACAATTACTCTTTAAAATTGTAATTCCAGCCAGGTGCGGTGGCTCAGCCCTGTAATCCCAGTACTTAGGGAGGCCGAGGCAGGTGGATCATCTGAGGTCAGGAGTTCAAGACCATCCTTATGAAATCTCGTCTCTACAAAAATTACAAAAATTGGCTGAGCATGGTGGCGTGTGCCTATAATCCCAACTACTAGAGAGGCTAAGGCAGGAGAATTGCTTGAACCCGGGAGGTGGAGGTTGCAGGGAGGTGGAGGTTGCAGTGAGCTGAGACTATGCCATTGCACTCCAGTCTGAGCAATAGAGCGAGTCTCTGTCTCAAAATAAATAAATAAATAAATAATTGTAATTCCTTCTCCACCCCTGCAACATGCTTTAAAAATCTCTAATTTTTGGTCAGGCGTGGTGGCTCAAGCCTGTAATCCCAGCACTTGAGGCCGAGACCAGGGCGGATCACGAGGTCAGGAGATCGAGACCATCCTGGCTAACACGGTGAAACCCCGTCTCTACTAAAAAAAATACAAAAAAACTAGCCGGCGCGAGGTGGCGGGTGCTGTAGTCCCCAGCTAGCTCGGGAGGCTGAGGCAGGAGAATGGCGTGTGAACCCGGAGGCGGAGCTTGCAGTGAGCTGAGATCCCCGGCACTGCACTCCAGCCTGGCAACAGAGCGAGACTCCATCTCGAAAAAAAAAAAAAAATCTCTAATTTTTTTCTTCATAGCACGTTTTGCCTTTTAACATACTCTAAGATTAGTGTTGCCAAATAGAACTTTCTGCAATGATTGAAATGTTCCATATTTGTGCTGCCCAGTATGGCAATGATGAGACACATACAGCTACTGAACACTTGAAATGTGGCTAGGGTGCCTGAAGAAGTAATTCTAATTTTAATTAATTTAAACAGCCACATTTGAGTAGCAGTTACTGTATTAAATAGCGAAGCTTTAGAACCTACCTATTTATTGTGATTATTATTACGCATCTCCCCTACTCCCATCAGACTGCAGGCTCAGAGATTTGTGTTTCTGTTCATGCAGTCAGGTATCCCAAGTGCTTTAAAAAGCACCTGGCACATAGTAAGCACTCCATAGATTTTAGGTAAGAAAATAAATGATACATTTCGAGGAGAAGAATCGCTAAGTCATTTTATATTTGATATTTACCGGCTGAGTGTCTTCCCGAAAAGAGGCACAAGGAACTGCAAGCTGAGAACCCTTGCTGTGAATAGTAGAACTTCCTTTAGTTGTCATAAAAGTGCCACTGGAGGGAGCTCCTGACACCTGGATCCTGGGACTGGTAACCAAAACTGCGACCAGTCCACCGCCCCACCAAAGGCCTGCTGTACTCTAGCCCTCATCCAACCAGGTCACCTGGGCACTGAGGCCCATCTGCCCTCATATAGCAAGGGTCAACAGAACCCCTGGCATCCTGATGGCTCTGTGGCAATTCAGGTACAAAGCCTGGGACCCAAGGCATGTGACCAGTGTCCAGATGCTGGATCTGCCCCTCTGGGAAGCCCCACGAAGGTCTCCTTCAGGTGTGGACTTCCTGTGGGATCAATGGGAGAGATCTGGTGGCCAGTCTCACCTGTCCACATGCCCTCTTTCTCCCAGCTCTAGAAAATATATAATGGCCCAGCTATAGAAAGTTTGACTGAGCCATCAGGGGCCTCCAGCTCGATGACTCTGTTCAGCGAGGCACAGCAGAGCCAAACTTACATGTCTGGGACAATCAGAAGGCGATATAGGAGGCCGGGTGCAGTGGCACATGCCTGTAATCCCAGCACTTTAGGAGGCCAAGGCGGGCAGATCACTTGAGGTCAGGAGTTCAAGACCAGCCCGGCCAACATGGCAAAACCCCGTCTCTACTAAAAATAAAAAATAAAAAATAGCTGGGCGCGGTGGCACATGACTGTAACCCTAGCTACTCAGAAGGCTGAGGCAGGAGAATTGCTTGAACCTGGGGCATAGGGGTTGCAGTGAGCTGAGATCACGCCACTGCACTCCAGCCTGGGCAACAGAGTGAGACCCTGTCTCAGAAACAACAACAACAACAAACAGGGCTTTTTTTAGATAGAAAAAAAAATGCCTTGGAAACAGCACAGACTCATGAAAGTTTCCTAATAGGCATTTTCATTATAAATGTAATGAGGATAATTCAGAGAATTCTGCTGAAGCTGCACATCAGGCTGTGGGGCAGCTCTTGGGTCAGGATGCTTTCCAATTTTCATCCCACTGCAGCTTGCCGGTGTATCTTCTCTTGGCAGAGTGGGGTATACTAAGTTTCTCTCTGCTGGCTGTTTATGCCTGAGCCTCACAGCCCTTTACATCCCTTCACAGAATCACTGACTGGCAGAGTGGAAGGGTCACTGGAGGTTATCAGGCCAACTTCCTTGTTCATAGAAGACGACCTTGAGGTTGAGAGGGTCTGAGCAACTCGCCACAGAGAGCTTGCGGCAGAGGTGGATTAGGAACCCAGTCTTCTGCCTTATAGCCAGCCCCATCAGCCAAAGAAATTCTGAAGACGCGATTCCAACCTCTTGAAAACAGGCGTCAATACAGAAGACGGTGCTGAAAATGACCTGAGAATACTGGCTACGGTCTAGGAAAGGCAGTAACCAAAATAATGTTTCCACATCTCTGTCAAGAACTCATGTTTGTAAAGAAGAATGCTTATCAGAAAGATTATACCCACATTCACACTGGATGGCACAGAGACTCACTCGGTTGTCCAGGGTCAACAGTGCAGATCTTGGAACAGAAATGACATGAAAAAGCATGATTCTCCAACTTCACCAGACACAGTGGCTCACACCTGTAATCCCAGCACTTTGGGAGGTTAAGAGGATCCCCTGAGCCCAGGAGCTCAAGACCATCCTGGGCAACATAGGGAGACCCCATCACTACAGAAAAAAAAAAAAATTAGGCGTGGTGGTACGGGCCTGCGGTCCCAGCTACTTGGGAGGCTGAGGTGGGAGAATTGCTTGAGCCCAGGCAGTTGAGGCTGCAGTGAGCCATGACAGTGCCACTGCACTCCAGCTTGGGTGACAAAGCAAGACCCTATCTAAAAAAAGATAATAAAAAATAAAAAATAGGGGCATGAAAAACCTTCAAGAAAGGTACAACACTCACCCAGCCAGGCTCACAGGTAGCAATGTTGATAATCCTAAGCTAAGGGAACGCCAAATAAGGAAAGATAAGAAGGCCGAGCATGTTGGCTCATGCTTGCAATCCCAGCACTTTGGGAGGCTGAGGCCAGAGGATCACGAGGTCAGGGGTTCAACACCAGCCTAACCAACACAATGAAACCCTGTCTCTACTAAAAATACATAAATTAGCTGGGGGTGGTGGCAGGTGCCTGTAATCCCAGCTACTTAGGAGGCTGAGGCAGGAGAATAGCTTGAACCTGGGAGGTGGAGGTTGCAGTGAGCCGAGATTGTGCCACTGCACTCCAGCCTGGGAGACAGAGCTAGACTCCATCTAAAACAAAACAAAAACAAAAAGCTAAGAAAATCTTCAAGAATACCGAAAAGCAGAAAAGCATACAAAATAATGCCATAAAACCTGGGCAAACTGCCCCAAAATGTGACTTCAATGGCATGCAGTCATATTGGCTTCAAGGGTGGTTTTTTTGTTTGTTTGTTTAGACAGATTCTCCCTCTATTGCCCAGGCTGGAAATGCAGTGGCATGATCTCCATTCATTGCAACCACTGCCTCCCAGGCACAAGCGATTGTTGTGCCTCAGCCTCCCAAGTAGCTAGGAGTACAGGCATGCACCACTACACCCAGCTAATTTTTATATATTTTAGTAGAGATGGGGTTTCTCCATGTTGTCCAGGTTGGTCTTGCACTCCTGGCCTCAAGTGATCCGCCTGCCTCAGCCTCCCAAAGTGCTGGGATTACAGGCACAAGCCACACTTTTTTAAGAAGTAAAACATTTCAGATAAATGTGAAGCTTCTGTATACCATGCTCCAAATCCACTCCCCTCCCATCCCAAAAGGAACCTCTGGCCTCGGTCTGTTTTTTTCACTCCCATGCATTTTTTCTTTTACTGCACACACATATATCCATTAATGATATCAGCATCTCTCCGCATGTTTTTATATGTGGTGTAAATAATAGAGACTATCATTTGGGCCACTTCAGGCATCTAGGTTTTTTCTCACTTGAGATTTATCCATTCAGGTAGCTCTAGCTCTGGCTCCCTCACCCCACAACTCATTTAGCTACTCCCCTGTTGAAGGATATTGATTATGTTTCTAATTTTTTTGCTATTACAGTTAAGTACTATAAAGAGTCACTATTTAATCATTATTACAATAAGTCTATAAAGAGACTTGTAGACTCTATAGAAGAATGGTGCTCACAGTGCTTGTTTTAATAGTGACTTCTATAGTCTCTCACACATGTGAGAATGTCTCTAGACTATATATACCTAGAAGCAATACTGCTGCTCTGCAGAAGGGAGAGGAGTGCTAGTCAACATTTATTGAATATTTACCCCATGACAGCACTATGCTAAGAGGTTTCTACACATTATCTCGTTCTTCACAAGATCTCTTTGAGCATGAATTGTGTTATGTACCCAACTTACAAATGAAGAAACTGAGCCTTAGAAAGTGCAGCTATTTTGGCCAGGTGTGGTGGCTCACTCCTGTAATCCCGGCACTCTGGGAGGCCGAGGTAGGCAGATCATCTGAGGTCAGGAGTTTGAGACCAGCCTGGCCAACATGGTGAAACCCTGTCTCTACTAAAAATACAAAAATTAGCTCAGTGTGGTGGTATGCGCCTGTAGTCCCAGCTACTCGGGAGGCTGAGGCAAGAGAATGGCTTGAACCTGGGAGGTAGAGGTTGCAGTGAACCGAGATCGCACCACTGCACTCCAGCCTGGGCGAGACTCGGTCTCAAAAAACAAAAATTAGCTGGGCATGGTAGCATGTGCCTGTAATCCCAGATACTTGGGAGGCTGAGGCAGGGGAATGGCTTGAACCTGGGAGGTAGAGGTTGCAGTGAGCCGAGATTGTGCCACTGCACTCCAGCCTGGGTGACATAGGGAGACTGTCTCAAAAAAAAAAAAAAAAAAAAAAGTGTAGGTATTTTGCTGAAGCTATATACAGCTAGTGGAAGAAAGAGCAGGGTGCTAAACCCAGGAGAGCCCAATCCAGTCGCCATGGCCTTAACTAGGATGCCAGTGGTTCTCAAAGTGTGGCCCCAAGAGAGGAGGCATCGGTGTCATAAAAGGGCCTAAAGAACTTACTAGAAATGGGATAGAAGCTGACCTTAAGACGAAAATTTTTTAAAAAGGAAAGAAAAAAAAGGGAATCTTCAGGCCCCATCCTAGACCCGCAGAATCAGAAACTCTGGGAATGGATCTAGTGACCTGTGGTTCAGCATCAATCAGGTGACTCTGATAACTTGTCACATTTGAGAACCGCTGCTCTAAGCTCCACTCCCTCCCCAGTCTCCAAACCATGGGCTAGTTCTACAGAGCCACAGGGACTGTCATTTTCCTTCAGGATTTAGAATCTGAAACGTTTAACTGGTTTGTTGAGCTTAGGGCTTACAAATGCTCCTTTCTCCATGAGCTATGATTCCATAAGCATCTTAGAGGAAAGCCAGATTAACAATAAATGTGTTTTTACTACACCAGATGTTGCCAGAATGCTCCCCAAAGTGGTTGTATCAATTACACTTTGACCAGAAGTGGACAAGAGTTTCCATTTCTCCACATTCTCATCATCATTTTGTGTTGCCAAAAACATTCTATTTTTTGCTAATTTGAGGGTAGAATTCCACTGAGGTTTTAATTTGTATTTCCCTTGTTAATGGTGATGCTGAGCACTCCCTCTGATTGGCCAGCTCTGTTTTCTGGGAGGAAAGAGATTCTGTAGTGACACAGCCAGGTGATTCTGAAAGATGGTCCACACCACTTTAGCCCTTAGCTCTAAGGAAACCTCATGTAGAAGCCTAGAGCACCCAGAGTTCCTGAAGCCTCACATGTGAATTGTTGGTGGCCTGACCTAGCCCTTTCACCCCATGACAGCCCCTAAGGGTCTCCAGGGACTCTGAAGACTCTGGCCAGTCCAGGAGTGGAAAGGGGCTGACCCAGGGCTGCATGGCGATCTTTGGTTGAGGCAGGAAGGGAAGCCTCGCCTGTGTGACCCAAGTAGCAAACCCACACACTTTCCCCACAGTGGGACACCTGCCCACAACCCCTGATGTACCTCAGCATCATACTTTTCATTGATGGCAGGCTCAGTGGTGACTAGCTTCATCCTGCTGGCAAATCTCAGCGAAGACAGCTGAAAAACAGGGCAGGTAGACGTCAGATGGCTCGCTACTAAAGTGAGACCCCAAGAGACCGGCCTTCTCAGAGACCTTGCCTGCCCTTTCCTGGCTCCATAGGCTCCCTTGTCAACCTGTGTTTGTTCCCTTCCCCCAGAGGACATTGGCTAAAAGGGTTCTTGGGTATGAGGTCCCCATGAGAAGAGCAGGAAGGTGACAGAGGGCACATCCAGCAGCCTCGTCCTTGTCAGGCAAACTATGAGGATGCGCACTGGTCTATTTCTTACACAAACCTGACTCTCTTCTACCTGTAGGCCTCTGCTCAGGTGACCCCTGCCTGGAGTACCCTTTTCTGTCCTATGCTGTCTGCCTTCCTACGTTCCACTCTCTCTCCAAGACTCAGCTGAAAACCAGCTTCCTTCCTGAGCCCTCCTGGTTTTCCTTCACACGAAACGTCTCTGCCCCTTCCACAAACCAGTGTTTCCCCTCCTTCATGCAATTTTCAGGGTCTAGATCAGCCATGTCCAACAGAGATACAAATGCAAACTACAAATGTAAGCCATACATGTAATTTTATATTTTCTAGTACCATATAAGAAAAGTTAAAAAGAAGCAGGTGCAAATAATTTTAATATGTTTTATTTAAATTTTAACCCAAGATATCAAAAATATTATGATTTGTTTGTGGGGTTTTGTTTGTTTTGTTTTGTTCTTTTGAGACAGGGTGTTGCTCTGTCATCCAGGTTGGAGTGCAGTGGCACAATGTTAGCTCACTGCAGCCTCAACCTTCTGGGTTCAGGCAATCCTCCCACCTTAGCCTCCTGAGTAGCTGGGGCTACAGGTGTGAGCCACTGTACCTGGTCCCAAAATGTTATAATTTCAACATGTAATCAACATTTTAAAATTATTGAAATATTTTACCATCTGATATGGTTTGGATCTGTGTCCCCAGCCAAATCTCATGTTGAAATACAATCCCCAATGCTGGAGGTGGAGCCTGGTGGGAGGTGATTGGATCATGGGGGCAGACTTCCCCTTTGGTGGTGTTCTCATGGTAGTGAGTGAGTTCTTATGAGATCTGGTCATTTCAACGTGTGGCACCTCCCTGCCCCTCACTTTCTTCCTCCTGCTCCTGTCATGCAAGACATCTTCTCCTGCTTTGCCTTCCGCCATGAGTAAAAGCTCCCCGAGGCCACCCCCAAAGCAGATGCTGCCATGCTTCCTGTACAGCCTGTGGAACCAGGAGCCAATTAAACCTCTTTTCTTTATAAAGTACCCAGTCTCAGGTGTGAGAACGGATTGATACACTTCTTTTTTTGTTGCTGGGTCTTTGAAATCTGGTGTGCATTTTACACTTGCATAACATGTCAGTCGGGACTAGCCACATCTGAGTGCTCCATAGCTACATGTGGCCAGTGGCTGCCGTAGTAGCCAGTGCAGGTCTAGCCCCTGAGCAGCATCTGCTTAAACTTTACCCTGTGAAGACTCCCCTGAGCCATTCCCCAGAGGGCAGATGCTCAGGCCCCCTGATGAATGACTCAGCAGTGTGGGTGGGAATGGGTAGTTCTGCTGCATTTGGAGGCAGGGGCCTCCAGCCACACACGCTGAGAAATGCTGCTCTGGGGCATGACCGATCTGTTAATGAAGCCTGGACTCTGCCCACCAGCCTCAGCCAAGTGTCCTCCCCACCATCCACAGGGAGTCTCCACAGGTTTGAGCTGAAAGGCTTCACTGCCGGCACAGGGATAGGCCCCTACCAGCCTCGTCCTCTGTATACACTTCCCCCAGGGACCTCTCTGCTGCCGAGCCACGAGGCCATGTCAGGACAGGAGGGGTACTGGGCTCTCTCAGCCTCCCTTCCGCAAGGCTTATGGCTATCATGTCTAACCCTGCATCCAACATTTGGGGCCTGGACTTCCCAGAGTGGCCTCAGCTTGCTCAGCCCTTCATTCTGTGAGAGAAGGGGCAGATAATGAGTAGGTAAGCTCATGCCAAGTTATGATAGGGCCAACCCTCCCACGGCGCTTGCTGTGGCCGGGCTCTGTTCTAAGTGTAGAGGCACGGTTGCTCATTTAATCTTCACAACTTCCTATAAAGTAGACGCATCATCAACCCAGTTTTATAGACGAGGACACTGAAACACAGGGAGGTCAAGTCACCCACTCACGGCCACAGAGCTGGTCTGTGGCCACACAGGAATTCAACTCAAGCACTCCAGCTCCCAAGTCTGTGCTCTTCACGGCTGGGAGCAGGACCGATAGGAAACCCATCCTAAAGACTGGGTAGGGCCTGGGAGAGGTCAGAGGAGTAGTTTGCCGGGTGATGGGGAAGGCATAAGGGCATCCTGATGGAGGAACAGTAGGCCCCAAGTATGAGGGAGGCGAGAGCCAGGTCAACATCTCAGGTGGACTGAGACAATGACAGGGTGCTCTGGGAGGAGACTCAGTGGTACTGGCAGTGGAACTGAGAAGGGCCTTGAGGAATCATAGGCCTGGGGAATCAGTTTCTCAGGTAAGGCCAGCAAGTGGTAGGTGTGTGGTAAATGTCGAACCTGAAAGGAGGGAGGCATTAGAATGCTCATTAACCTTTGCTATTCAGGAATGAGGCTAAAAATTCAACTCAGCAGAGGTCTAAAATGTGTGTGTGTGCTGACTGGCCTCTATGTCTTTGGCCCATTGCTTGTGAATAGAGATATTTGCAAAATAGGTAAAATGAGACCACTAGGAAAGATAAATATCTGCATAGAAGCATGCTCCAAAATGGACTCTCGGGCCCAAGACACTAAGAGTGAATGATGCCTGCAGGGTCCCAGCAGAGTCTCTCTGGAGGGGTAGCCAGCCAAGGATAATTATGGCTGGAGGCCTTTGGGGCAGCTATGGGAGTCTCCCATGCCTCACTGCTCGGATGTTAGCTCAGGGATGGAGGGCTCCTCCCTGGCAGTGACAAACAGCCAGGGGCCTCAGGAGGCAGGCCCAGAGATTCTAGCCTCAGGCCATGCTGGGCTATCTCGTATTTCAATGAATGATCCTGAAATGAGGAAGTAAGCTAGGAGTGGCTGACCCCTAAGTGGCCCAGAGGAAAGACTGAAAGGGCTCTTCCTTGGGCATCTACTCTGGTGGCTCAGAGCTCAGCCACTGACCCGCTGCGTGACCACCGACAGATCTCACAACTTCTCTGTAAGGTGAAGGGAGAGCTGCCTCGCTAAGGTGTATAATGCGCTCTGTACAGAGCTGGTTCACAGCAAGCCCTCAGGAAGACGTCTCTGTCATTACAGGTGGTGTTGCTTCTGTGCAGGGCCAAGTCAGACTCTCCTGCTCCAAGTATAGCAGCAAGTATGGCCATGTCCCATCCCTGTGGTTACTCACGCACACATGTACAGTGTCACTGCGTAAAGCAACACAATCCATGATGAGAATAGTTTTCAAGTTTTAACACATTTGGAAAAGACAATCATTAGCTTTCATACCCCCAATATACCTTTCTCCCAAACCCCTGAGACTCCTCCAACAGCTCCTCTGGGCTCTGGGTTCGGTCCTGGGCAGAGAACCCAAGTGGTAATATGGGCACAAGCCCCCGGAGACGGCGGGTACTAGGAGAGTTGTTTCCTGAGCTGTAACCATCACAGGAGGTGGGGATAAAGGGAGACAGGGAGCTTCTACTGTCTTGGAGGGCATCTTTCTTAACAAGGCAGCCAGGAAGCCCATTTCTTATGGCTCTTCTTAGGGTTCAACCGTGTATTTTTTTTTTTGTTTTTTTTTTCCTTTTGAGATGGAGTCTTGCTCTGTCACCCAGGTTGGAGTTCAGTGGCCCAATCTCTGCTCACTACAACCTCTGCCTCCAGGGTTCAAGCGATTCTCCTGTCTCAGCCTCCCAAGTAACTGGGATTACAGGCGCCCGCCACCATGCCCTGTTAATTTTTGCATTTTTAGTAGAGACAGTGTTTCACCATGTTGGCCAGGCTGGTCTCAAACTCCTTACCTCAAGGAGTGATCTGCCCACCTCAGCCTCCCAAAGTGCTGGGATTACAGGCATGAGCCATCATGCCTGGCCTCAACCATGCTTTTTATGCCATGAGACCAAGAAGTTCCAGAAGCCTTCCTCTGGGGATGCTGCCTGCACATCAGCTGGAGCTCTCCTCCCCTGCCTCCCAAGTCCCAGGGTGCTGGATGTACGACAGGAGCATTCTCCTTGGAAGCTAGGACAGTCCCTAATGCACACAGCTGGGAGACCCTGCAGGCATGTCTTGCCCTGAAGCATCTTTGGAAATAACCTGTTTCACCTAAGTAGATTATCCAGGTGACTGAAGTTTGCCTTAAACATCCACACTTGAAAAATAAAATGTCTAATGATAGCTTTTCTAACCTGTCTCTTGTGGGGTTTTTTTTTTTTTTTTTTGAGACATCTCGCTCTGTCACCAAGGCTGGAGTACAGTGGCACGATCTCGGCTCACTACCACCTCTGCCTCACAGGTTCAAGCGATTCTCCTGCCTCAGCCTCCCGAGTAGCTAGGACCACAGGCGTGCACCACCATGCCCAGTTAATTTTTGTATTTTTTAGTAGAGATAAGGTTTCACCATGTTGGTCAGGCTGGTCTCGAACTCCTGACCTCAGGTGATCCACCTGCTTCAGCCTCCTAAAGTGCTGGGATTACAGGCGTGAGCCACCGTGCCCGGCCCCTAATCTGTCTTATGTATGATGGGTGGCACTTCAGAGGAAGGTTGAGAAAGTCCCAGGCTGGAGGTGCTCAGCTGTGTGGACTCACCTGTGTCACTGAGCTAGACCTTTATTCCTGCCTCTGATTCTCACAGGCTTCTCCCTTCCCCAGGCCACCTGTGTCCTGCCACTTGGATAATCTCCCTGACTAATCCCACCTCTGGCCACAGCCCTCCCTGTGACAGCTGCAGCCACCTGTAGGAGAACAGCCAAGGCCTCAGCTGGGCCGCCAGGGCCCATTCAGCCCCTGTGATTTCTTTTATTCTTCTTGCTGAGAGCCCCCACCCCCGCAGCAGACAGATGTTCCTGGTGTGGGTCACATCTTCAGTCCCACTATTACCTCTGCCAGGAATACCTCCACTTATCCTACCACCAAGCCTTTAACCCCAGCCAGCTCAGTGCCCACCTTTCCCTACTCTAGCTTCAGGAAAAGTTCCCCATCACCCCCATCCTGGCCTCCTCTGAAGGTCTCCTCCTTCTGGGACTCACATTACTTAGGACCATGGCTTCTCTCTCTTTCTGGGTTGAGGATGCTGAGGCCCAAGGCCATTTATGACTAATTTCTACCAGGTTACGCCTCCTTACCATGGTGCACGTGGCAGGTGCTTAATACCATCTGCTCATACTGGCCTTATAACCACAGCCTGGAACCCTGTGGGGTTTTCAAGATGTTTAAACATGCCCGATTATAAAGAACAAGTGATCAATGATCCTTCTTGATCCCAATTCCAGGAGCAGCACCCCAGGAAACATGGTCCTTGTCTTCACAAAGCTGGCTCTCAGTCTCCCTCCTCATGCAGTCCCCCATGCCGAGCCCACCTGCTGGCTGGCCCTCTTCCTCCACACAGTTTAGTGCTTGGTGTGTGGATTCTGGCTCTGGGCCCCCTCAGCAACTGTGGCTCAGACTCACCCCTGGATCCTTCCACTCTTGACAATGTCTATGGTCACTGTGCCAGCTTAGCCAGCCTGGAGCCTTACCCTGCCCTGGCACCCATGAGGGGGGATTCCGACCTGGTTTCATTGACTGTGTTTACATACCGTTTCTTCTAACTGGGCAGCTTCTCCATAGATGTTTGTCACAAGGACCATATTGCAGTTTCCCCCTGCAGAAAGCAAGCCACAGAAGGGCTGTGAACCATGTGTTTTTTCTGCTCAAAGGAGTTGATGGGGTCTGTTACACACTGAATGTTTTTTGTTTGGTTTTTTGAAACAGGGCCTCACCATGTCACCCAGGCTGTAGTGCAGTGACACGATTACAGCTCACTGCAGCCTCAATCTCCTGGGCTGAAGCAATCCTCTTGCCTCAGCCTCCCAAGCAGCTGGGACCACAGGTGCACACCACCACACCTGGCTAATTTTTTTTGTTTTTAGAGACAAGGTCTTGCTATGTTGCCCAGGCTGGTCTTGAACTCCTGGCCTCAAGCGATCCTCCTGCCTCAGCCTCCCAAAATGCTGGGATTATAGGTGTGAGCCACTGCACCTGGTCAAGACTGAATGTTTTTGTCCTTACAAAATTCATACGTTGAAGTCATAACCCCTGTGTGATGGTATCTGGATGTGAGGACTTGGGGAGGGGGAGGTAATTTGGTTTAGTTGAAGTCAGAGGGTGGGGCCCCCACGATGGGGTTAGTGTCCTTATAAGGAAAGAGACCAGAGCCCTCTCCTTCTTTCCATGTGAGGATACGCAAGAAGGTGGCCATCTGCAAGCCAGGAGGAGGGCCCTCACTAGGCACTGAATCTGCTGGCACTTGAATCTTGAACCTTCCAGTCTCCAGAACTATGTGAAATAAATGCCTGTTGTTTAAGCCACTTAGCTTATGGTATTTTCTTATAGCAGCCTGAACTGAGACAGGGTCAGACAGGACACATACATCTGTGAGGCTTGGAGGTAAGGGGAAGAGAGAAAGAGAGGCCACCACATGTACCTGAAAGAGGATCCAGGAGAAAACAGCAGAGAAGAGATGATACAGGGCAGGGAGGGGCAGGGACAGCAGAGGCAGGTATGAGTCGGAGCTTTGCTCAGGGTGGCACTCAGTTAACAATCAGACACTAGTGACTGTGTTGTCAGGCTTAACACAAAGGCCTAGGGCCATAAGGATGATAAGACACAGCCCCCGCTGCTCTGTCTAGGAGGCTGCAGGGGAAGGGAAGACACCATTGGAGAGAGGCCCTCGCCCCAAGTCTTCAGGCTGTGAAGGATTCTGCCAGCTGTTCCCTCAAGACAAGGGGAAAAGAGAAGGTATTCCTAGTACAGGTAAAAAGCCTAAGGAAGGTTCTGAGGAGTGAATAGCATGGTGTGTTCTGGGCACAGTGCTTGATTCTGCCTTTCCAGGTGTCTGAAGTCACTGTGAATGTGCTGCAGGTGAATCCATGCCACCAGGAGGGAGCAATTCTATTACCGCCACTGGCAGATGTGCCAAACCTGTCCCTCCCCAAAGACACAGACCCTCCTCCCTGGGCAGCAATTGTACCCCCTCACCTAACGAGTCCTTCAGAGCGTGGGTGAGCTTGCACTGCCGAAAGGGGATGTGGTCCCGCTTCTGGTCCCCGAGGGCAATGATGGCCTGCTCCAGGAATGATAGCGATTTGTTGATGTAGGTGGCTTCCTTCAGGACTCGGCCCTCAGACTAGAAAGCAAAGGTCAGTTCCACTTTGGATGGAATCAAGCAGCTGCCCCACTAAGAACAGCAGCCTTCCTGGTCTGGAGAAACGCTGTAAGTCTGTGGTCAGGCCAGCGCCTCCTTCCCAGAACCAGAGTCTTCCCGCAGTGTCATGTGACTGTATTCCATCTTGGGCTAATAATGGTAATACCAAAACTCAGAAATACTCATTTGAACACTCATGTGAACGCTCGTGAGAATGTGAATGCTTACATGAATATTCATATGGACATTCACTCAAAGATTCACATTAGTATGAATATGTACTGAAATACTTGTCTAGATATTTGAGCAAAGAATCCCGTGAATATTCACACAAACACTCATGAATGCACATACAAATGCTCATCTGAATACTCTTGTTAATACTCGTGCTAATACACTCATACAAATATTTATTTGAAATATTCATGCGAATACTCATATTCATTCACAAAGAAGCCAGGTGTGGTGGCTCACACTTGTAATCCCAGCACTTTGGGAGACCAAAGCAGGAGGATCGCTTGAGCCCAGGAGTTTAAGTTCAGCCTTGGCAACATAGCAAGACCCCGTCTCTACAAGAAAATTTAAAAATTATCTGGTCATGGTGGTGCATACCTGTGGTCCCAGATACTTGAGAGACTGAAGTGGGAGGATCATTTGAACCTGGGAGGTCAAGGCTGCAGTGAGCTGTGTTTGTGCTACTGTACCCCAGCCTGGGAACCAGAGTGAGACTATGTCTCAAAACAACAACAACAAAAACACACACAGAGAAATGCTATACCAGCAAAGAATATTTACTGAGCACTGAGTGCCAGGCACTTTGCTAAGAATGTAGAGGGCACTATCTCATTTAATGTTTACAAAAATCCTCTGAGATAGGAACCGCCCCCAGGTAATAGCTGTTCCCTCTTTGCCAATCCTGTCCCTCCAGCAAGTCCACACGTCCTACTTCGCCTAGCTCAGGACTGTGTTCACAAATATCCAATGAGTCATGGCCCAGATGTGCGGGCACTATGCCAGAAAGAGGGCTTGTGGCTTATTGAGTAGCAACCTCCAGCCCCCATCACTTACCCCAGACTTCCCCAGCCTCTCTGAGCCTGCCAGATCCACCAAGTTAATTTTGGAAGTGATGTACTTTTCCTCTGATAAGGTCCGGGAATGGGCCTACAAAACATCCAAGCAGAAGTTAGACTGTCACAGGGAGAAGTTTCTGACTGAGCAGGCCCCATGGGAACTGACTGCCCCACCTGGGCTGATCAAAGAGCTTGCACCTACCTCTAAGTAGATGGTGAAAATGCAGTGTGATCTAGAAGAGTTTTTGTTCATAGTATGGGAGGCTATAATCCTGTTGGTCTCACCCTGAAGAGGAAGGGAATCATAGGCAACATTTTGAAAAACAAAAACGACAAGGCACTTGTGTCATTTTTCAATTATACCAATAGCTACACAAGTAGTCTCACATCACTGCAATCAGCTGGGCCTTTTAGGCAAACGTCTATTATAAACTAATAGAAAGGGAGTCCAGTTGGAGTCCACATCTATACTTTCACCCGCTGCTGGGGACGTGTGAATTGGTATAGCTTTCTGAAAAGCAAAGTGACAATAAAAATCAAGAGCCTTAAAAATATCTATGAATATTGAATCAGAATCAACCTGCATGTCTAACAATTTGGGAATGATCTATGTGTACAATGGAATATTGGGCAGCCAGGAAAATGCTAACACATAGTTTTTAATAACAGAGAAATGGGGCTGGGCGCAGTGGCTCATGCCTGTAATCCCAGTACTTTGGGAGGCCGAGGTGGGCGGATCACGAGATCAGGAGATCGAGACCATCCTGGCTAACATGGTGAAACCCCGTCTCTACTAAAAATACAAAAAATTAGCTGGGCATGGTAGCAGGTGCCTGTAGTTCCAGCTACTCTGGAGGCTGAGGCGGGAGAATGGCGTGAACCCAGGAGGCGGAGCTTGCAGTGAGCCGAGATCATGCCACTGCACACAAGCCTGGGCGACAGAGTCCGTCTAAAAAAACAAACAAAAAAACCAGAAATATAGAATCCAAAATCATATTATAGCATATTATAGCACGATCTAAGGAATGCAAAAGCATTCATAGAAGAAATAAGCAGAATTCTGCTACTAAGATGTTAATAATAATTGCTTCTGGGTTGGGATTTATAGGTTATTTTTTCTTTTTTATAGAGTTTTGTGTTTTTTTTTAGTAAGCGTGTATTACTTTAAAAAATAATAATTTATGGCCGGGCGCGGTGGCTCAAGCCTGTAATCCCAGCACTTTGGGAGGCCGAGACGGGCAGATCACGAGGTCAGGAGATCGAGACCATCCTGGCTAACACAGTGAAACCCCCTCTCTACTAAAAAAAATACAAAAAACTAGCCGGGCGAGGTGGCGGGCGCCTGTGGTCCCAGCTACTCGGGAGGCTGAGGCAGGAGAATGGCGTAAACCCAGGAGGCAGAGCTTGCAGTGAGCCGAGATCAGGCCACTGCACTCCAGCCTGGGCGACAGAGCGAGACTCCGTCTCAAAAAAAAAAATAAAAATAAAAAAAATAAAAATAAAAATAATAATAATAATTTATATTTTTATTTATTTATTTTGTGTTCTCTTTTTTATTTATTTATTTATTTTTTTTGAGAGAGCATCTCAATCTGTCACCCATACTAGAGTGTGGTGGCACGATCTCGGCTCACTACAACCTCTGCCTCCCGGGCCCAAGCCATCCTCCCACCTTGGCTTCCTGAGTAGCTGGGACTACAAGCGTGCACTACCACACCTGGCTAAGTTCTGTATTTTTTGTAGAGACATGGTTTCACCATGTGCCCAGGCTGGTCCGGAACTCATGAGTTCAAGAGATCTGCCCA